GACATCAATAATGTTGACTACTGTAATCAATCCAGTCGGAAATAAAAATGTTTGTTGTTGCCCAACTGCAGCTTACAGTTTTAAAAAAATACTCTTCAAAATATTTTCAGGAGCCTCTAGTTTAAGAAAGTTACTATGGCTTGGGGTACAATCTCTACAACTGATACCTAGCAGAATGACAACAGTAAAGGCTGAGGAAGAAGTTCCAGACATTGTCCAATTTCTCATTGCTACCTTGTTTTCTTAGAAACTTACAACTTCAGACAAGAGAACATTAATGCATTAATGAGGCTACCAAAAAAAAAAGAAAAGAAAAAAGAAAAAGCCACATAGGCAGTGTTGTCACACATGGATTATAAAATTATATATTCCAGTCATAGTCAGTTAAAAGTACATAAGCAAATGTGATCTAGCAGACAGCCTGGGAATCTAGAGGACCTTGGATATCGTATCTAATTCCCTGAGTTTGAGTCTTGCCATCTGTAAAACAAAGAAATAAAAACTTTCCCAGAACAGTTAAGATTAAATGAAACCTGTGGAAACACTGGATACTTTGTAGGCTTTTAAGTGTCTGTCTAAAAAATAATAATTCACTAGGAAACTGCAAAGAATAACTGTAAATTTCCATGTTTAAGTCCAAATTGTGTCGTAAGCATATTTACTTTAAGCAAGTAAGCAAGGTAAACTATGTGCACAAGCGTGATTTTCGTTGTTTAAAATGATTTTCAATGTATAAGGTGACTCAAATGGGATCTAATAAGGCTACTCACTTCACTTGGTTAGGAACAATTTCCGGGGTGTCTGACCAAGAAAAGAGATGAAGAGAAAGAAGGAAGTTTACAAAGGACAAAAAAGGAAGACACAGGATTAGAATGGGTTAACAAAGCAAAAAATAAACCTTCCCAAAGTGAGCAGTGAAGCACGTGGAAACAAGGAAGGTTGAACAGTAGATTAGGACCCACCAAAAATCCTCATGCTTAAAAAAGGAAGCCAAGCCCCATTTGTTATGCACCCAATACGCTCTGTTTGTGCTAACTACATAAAGAAGATGAGGCGAGGTGACCTGGACACAGACCTGGACACTCTGACCTCTGGCACAGAAGGGGTTACAGGAGTGCTGGGGGAGAGAGGCAGCAGGGTAGTGGAGTCATACCAAGCAACAAGGAAGACAAGGTAGTACATTTTCCACAAATTTCAATTTTACTCCCTTCCCTCATGACACACACACAAAAAGCATTTGAAGGATGGGAGGAAGAAACTGAGATCACAGGGAAAATAGTAAGAGACATTCAAAAGGGCAGGTCTTAGAAAATTTACTAGTTTGGGGAGGTCAGAAAATAGTAGCATATAAAAGAATGCTAAGACAGTTCCCAGGTTTAGGCATGGGAGACTATTTTGATTATTTCATTTTGTCCCACTCACAATGACAAGGAGAAGTATTGAGGGAACACATGATGGGGCTGATAGAGTGCTAGGAGGTGGATACATGAAAATGTAATTGTCATTATTTTGAACAGCCATGTCACTCCAAGTGAGATTCCCTAACATATATGATATACAGACAGATATATGAGTTTGAAACTCTGGAGATGAATGGGAATTTAGGAATCCCTGGAACACAGGTCATGACTTCAGTAATGGGAGTCAAAGATTACTCAGAGAAAGCACAGAATGAGAAGAGAAGAAAGAAGTAGGCCAAGGAAGAAGAGATCAGAGGAGACCAAGGCAGAGTGATAAGATCAAAACAGAAGAAAGGAATCTGATGGAGGTCCCATTAGATTATCATGTCCCTTCCCAGAGGACAGGGACATGCCTTTTTTTGTCTTTTATACCCAATTATCACAGGGCTTGGCACAGAAGCCACTCAATGTTTTTTTTTAATTGTGTTCTACTGTTCACAGTTTGCTGTATCCACCAGGTGAGAAAAAAGTAAGTATAAATAAGCACAGATACGGATTTTTTAATACTGTATACTAAAGGGGCCAGATTATACACAATATTTTATGCCTTACTTTTTTACTTAATATATCTTAGAAGTTTGCACATGCTTATGGAAGGATTGGCTGCATTTCTTTTGATCTACAACAGAATATTCTATTATAAAACTGCACACTATAATTTTTATTTAACCAACTCTTTATTGGTGGACATTAAGAATGGAGGAATGTTTCAACAAGGGAACAATCAACAGTATCAAAATACTGCAGAGGGGTCAATTTGGGGACAAAGAGAGGGGCCACTAGATTTGGCAACTAGGAGATAAATTTTAGTGCAATGATGAGGACAGAATCCAGATTACAATGAATTCAGTGAAAAAAGGTGAAGACATGTAGCTTATTCTCTCAAGAAACTAGGCTATGATAAACTGGCAAAGGCTGTAAGAGTGGGAGGTGAGTCATTTTCTCCTTTGTGTAAATATATTTACTTTTTAAAACACTAGGCCCAATTTTATATCCTACTTCATTTAACTTTATGAACATGTTTATGTAATGTTTTAGACAGTGAAAAATAACTCATTTCTGCTATTATAAAACTGTTATCTTTAGATGTTCACAAGCAACTTCCTAAAAGGAGGTAGCAGTAATGGAGCTATGTCTATCATTCTTTCCCATCACCCCCCTTTCTGGAGATGTAAACATGTGTCTATCTAGCTTTTAATTAATTTTTACCTCTTATCTTCATGGCTTTCCATATAAACCTTAACTCTTTTTTTGTATATGTATATGTATATGTATATGTATATCTATATCTATATCTAGAGAGAGAGAGAGAGAAGAGGGGGTCTTGCCATGTTGCTCAGGCTGATCTCAAACTCCTGGGCTCAAGCACTCCTTCCACCTTGGCCTCGCGAAGTGCTGGGATTATAGGCGTGAACCACTGCGCCCAGCCTCAGCCTTAACTCTTAAAATATCTTCAAACCCATGTTCTTCAGTTCTTATTTTTAAGAATATTTGTGTTTAAACCAACTATAATTTATTTTGACAAAAATTGGAGTTAAGACTCAAACTTCCTCAAATGGTCAGCTCTCCTAAGACTATTTACAGAATAATCTTTCTTTTCCCTATTAAGTTAAAATACCATCTTTATCTTATACTAAATTATCATTAGCATGACTCTGGTTCTAAACTTCATTGCCTTTATCTGTCTGGCTCAGGGCTATTCCACAATATTTTATTTAATATCGGGTTGAACAAATCTATTCTTTATTATTTTTTATTACTTACTCTTCTAAACAAACTTTAGAGTCATTTTGTCAAGTTCCAAAAATAAATCTACAGGGATTTTTTTTTTTTTTTTTTTTTTTTGAGACAGGGTCTCATTCTGTCACCTACGCTGGAGTTCAGAGGCATGATCTCGGCTCACCGCAATCTCTGCCTCCCAGGCTAAAGTGATCCTCCCACCTCAGCCTCCTGAGTAGTTGGGACTACAAGTGTGTACCACCACACCTAGCTAATTGTCATCTACCTGCCTCAGCTTCCCAAACTTTTGGGATTACTAGCGTGAGACACTGTGCCCAGCAGAAATTACATTTATAAATTAATATGAAGACATGGTGATAACTAACGTATTTATAACATTAAATCTACTCATCCAGGGACATAGAATGCAAATCTTTCATTCCACTCAGCAAAATTTTGTCATGTTCTTGATAAAAGTCCTGCACATGTAAGTTTATTCCTAGGTATTTAATTTTTGCTGAAATACTTGAAAAAATACTTTACCACTATATCTCCTATGTGATTATAGCTAATATTGGGGAAGGCTATTGATTTTTATATAACAGAGCTTTTAACCAGCAATCTTAAAAATTGTTTCTTTTTTTTAAGTTGGTACCTTTGGATATTTTTAGGTAAACAATCATGTCAACTTAAAATAATGATTGTTAGTTTTCTATAAAGATTATGACATCATAGGAAAATACTGTAAATGCTTTTTATTTTTTTAATTTTTAATTTTTGATTTTTAATTTTTTTAGAGATGGAGTCTTGCTCTGTTGCCCAGGCTGGAGTGCAATGGCACGATCTTGGCTTACTGTAAGCTGTGTCTCCCAGGTTCACACCATTCTCCTGTCTCAGTCTCCTGAGTAGCTGGGACTACAGGTGCGCCTGCCACCATGCCTGGCTAATTTTTGTATTTTTAGTAGAGATGGGGTTTCATCGTGTTAGCCAGGATGGTCTCGATCTCCTGACCTCATGATCTGCTTGCCTCGGCCTCCCAAAGTGCTGGGATTACAGGCGTGAGCCACCGCGCCTGGCCTAGTAAATGCTTTTTAAAAGAATATAAAACTATAGAGAATACGACCTCAATTATTTAAATATATGTATAAGGGTTTTGTATTTTACTAGCAAAGAAAAAATATATAAGGGTAGAAAATAGCCATCATGTCAACAGTGATTATATTAGGTAGAAAAATTATGAGAGACTTTATTTTTTTTCTTTTCTTTTCTATATTTTACAATAGATTGCTTATGAGTTTTATATGCTTATGGTTGCTTATGAGTTTTATAATAAAGGTTTTTAAAATTTTCGCAACATGGTAAGTTATACTTCTTTATATACTAAAAACAAAAACACAACTTTCTATTTGAATACCTTTGACTTTTACCGCAGACTTACAGACCCTTGAAAGAAAAGGCAATTCCCTCATACTAGTTCTGGTGTGACTCTACCCATCTCTCCCTTCACTTCTATCTTGGTTTTTTTTCCACCTCCCACTTTGGCTAGTCGTCTCTACCCAAAATGCTTGCTTGGCTTAATGGTTAGAATTCAGGGAAAAAGAGATCTTGAATTCCTAATCTAAACTAAGGTTATACATGAGGGAAATAATAAAGAGAAACTAGGTAGTAAATAAGATTTGAAGGACTTAAAATACCCAGACTTTAATTCCTCTAAGATTATAGTCATTAATCATGTTTTTATATCATATTATCTCTTAATATTTAATTTCTAAATATAATGTTCATGAGGAAAAGAGAAAATAGCTTGGCTTCCTTCCTTACCGAATATTGTTCTTGGTATCTTCTAGGTGTTCCAGAACTGATGTCAGATTTGGCTCATCAGAGTCCACAAACCATATTGGTGAAGAAGATGCATAGGATTCCTGTTTAGCACAGAGACACCTTTGTTAAACGTTTACATACAGACTAACCCAAATATGCAATTAAACCACACCACTAAATGGCAAGATGACCATGGATTTAAACAAAATGTGTGGGGGAAAAGGCAACACATTAAAACCCATGTGAGGAGCTGGACTTTTGAGACAGCCATTCTCCTTGCATAGCACTGTCTGCTGCTACAGCTCATAGAAGTCAACAATTTTCTTCAACACTGGTAGGCAGCCTCTAAATGGCCCCGATCACCCTCACCTCCCGCCATTCATACCCTCGTAAAATTCCTGCCCCTGGACCTAGTGACTCACTTCTAACAAAGAGAATGCAGCAAAAGTAATAACATCACTTCTGAGATGAGGCTACAAGGAGATGATTCCTGCCTTGGTCACCCTTCTCCTGCTCTCTCCATTGCTCCCTCTGATGGAAACCAGTTGCCATGTGATGAGCTGCCCTATGGAGAGGCCCACATGGCAAGGTATTGTAAAAGTCCTCTGACCAATAGCCATCTAGAAATGGAGGCCCAGTCCAACAGCCTGTGAGAAAAATCCTGCCAACGTGAGCTTGGAGACGGATTCTCTCCCTATCCTGCCTTGGGATGATCATAGCCACCACCAACACCTTCACTGCCTGGTGAGAGGCCAAGCCAGTGAACCCAAGGTAAACTGCACAGAACCCTGACCCACAGAAACTGTGAGATAATGTTTGTGGTTTTAAGCTGCTAAATTTGTTACAGAGCAATAGATAACTAATTCAAACACCATACAATTATAATATTTTATTCTATCACACAAACCAAGTAATACTAAGAAATGCCATTACTATACACATATTTTTGGAACACAATTACATGTGATTTTTTTAAAAAAGCTAATGAACTAAGCTTTTACCCACTAACAGACATTTACTCTGTTAATTTGTATTGTTTTCAATTATAAATTGGGGAGAAGCCATTATTATATATTAGCTTCAGAACAACTAGGTTCAAGTCATGGAAAACAATTTTGCACCAACAACTTTAGGAAACACTGCTTTGAAAACTATAATCTGAATTATAGCTGAAGCCACAGAAGCCAAATATTTACCAAAGGTTCTTTTAAGAAAAGCAAGTTGGCCAGGCATGGTGGCTCATGTCTATAATCCCAGCACTTTGGGAGGCCGAGGTGGGTGGATCACGAGGTCAGGCGATCGAGACCATACTGGCCAACATGGTGAAATCCTGTCTCTACTAAAATTAAAAAAAAAAAAAAAAATCCGGGCATGGTGGTACACACCTGTCGTCCCAGCTACTCAGAAGGCTGACACAGGGGAATCGCTTGAACCAGGGAGGCGGAGGTTGCAGTGACCTGAGATTGCACCACTGCACTCCAGCCTGGTGACGGAGAAAGACTCTGTCCCCCCGCCGAAAAAGAGAAAAAAGAAAAACAAGTTGTGTTGAAGGAGGACATCATTAACAGTATATCTCTTCAATAATGGTTTAGTTTACTATTCTCATTCTTCTCATTCCTCTCTTACTGTGTCCCAAATCTCTTTACAGGCTAAAAGAAACTCTTCAGAATTAATCCTATTCATAAAGAACACCACTTACTGATTATTGCACTTTCTTCTTCAAATTCTTCAGCATACATTGGGAATACATCCTATGGATCATTTTTATGTGTTTAGTTTTAGGTTATTTATTTATTTTTTGTTTTGGCTAAAGAAACTGCCACTCGATTTAGGACCTCATTCCATTAGGTTAGTATTTGTCTAGTAAAGTTCAGCATAAGCAAAATAAAATACGTGTTGTTGCTCTGGACTAAAACCCCTCAAAACCATATTTTAAAAATTACAAAAAAAATTAACTGAAATCATGTTTTTAAAAATCTTGCAGATGAAAAGATATGATATAAAGTAGGTTTAAGTACCTATTTCAATGGTTCCCAAAGTGCGGCCCTCAGACGCCCAGGTCCAAACTATTTTAATAGGAATACTAACATGGTGACATTTGCTGTAAGGGTGCAAATACAATAGTAGGTAAAAATGCTGGTACTTTAGCACAAACAAAGGCAGTAACACCAAACTACTAGTAGTCATGGTATTCTTCACTATGCACAGGAAAGGTTTAAAAAGGAAGGGCAGGCCAGGCATGGTGTCTCACACCTGTAATCCCAGCACTTTGGGAGGCTGAGGCAGGTAGATCACCTGAGGTCAGGAGTTTGAGACCAGCCTGGCCAACATAGTGAAACCCTATCTCTACAAAAAATACAAAATTTAGCTGGACATTGTGATTGTATGCCTGTAGTCCCAGGTACTTGGAAAGCTGAGGCAGGAGGATTGCACCTAGAAGGTTGAGGCTACAGTGAGCTGTGATCATGCACTCCAGCCTGGGTGACAGAACAAGGCCCTGTCTCAAAAACAAAAAGAATGATGAAGCAGTGAAAATTTTACTACATTTTTATCCTTGAATATGTCTTTTTAATATTTCAAGTGATGAAATTGGAAGTACACAGGAGCATTCCTACAGACTGCCTGAGAAAAAACCCTTGTGTCACTAAGTCGTGAAGTGAATTAACCACTTTAATGGAATACCATTTTTACTTGAAAGGATGACTGACAAACAATATTATTTCATCGTGGGTTTTTGGGAGACATTTTCTCAAAAAACGAGATTCTGTCATTTCAAGAAAAACAACAGACAGGCCATAATAAAATTCAATAATAAAATTGCTAATAATAAAACTCAAGCTTTTGAACAAAAAATTAGAATTTTAGAAAACTTATATCCACCATAGCTTTCCAAAAGTATTCTGATGAGATTGATGGTGATATTATTTTGATACTGTATAATCAAATGTATCAACATGTAGAAGATCTCGGTGAACCATTATTTTCTAAATGACCAATGCATGATGTTATAATGTCATGCAAGGGTAAAAGATCCAAAGTTCAAGAAAAACCAAGTTTTGATGGAGTATCAAAAAAGAAGTCTAGGCAACATGGCAAAACCCTGTCTCTACAAAAAGATACAAAAAATTAGCCAGGTGTGGTGACACACACCTGTAATCCCAACTACTCTGGAGGTTGAGGTGGGAGGATCACCTGAGTCCCCGGAGACTGAGGCTGCAGTGAGCTGTGATCACACCACTGCATTCCGACCTGGGAGATCGGACATTGTTCACATTTTTTCAAGCAAATATCACACAATAAATTGAATGCAGATAAAAATGACATACCAAACATCAAAGAAATTTGCAAAAAATGTAAGATTGTGCTACTTTGGGTTTAGAAATTTTTTCATAAAAGCATTTATAACAAATGTGGTGAGCTTTTAAAGAATAGTTTAAGTATTTCCGATTTAATTTCTAGTGATAAATGGCAATACATGTAACCTACATAAACCAAAGCTCCTTGGGCCCTCAATGTATTTTTAAGAGTGTAAAGGAGTCCTGATTCCAAAACTTTGAGAGCTGCTGCCTTCTCCTCCACTTTCCTTCCTTTCCTAGAATTTCTTCCTTGGAAGAAACATCCCTTTGCCATTCTATATTAACTTATAGAGTTCCATTGATGTCAGTTTTGCTACATCCCTCCCATCTTTCCACCTGCCTCTCTGGACACAAAACCTGACTACAGGACTCGACCAGCCCACCCATTTCCAGTGATCAGCTGTCAAGGTGGGCGAAGCCAAGAAAATCTGGGTTTTCCCTGAGACTAAACTTCTCTTTCTGGGAGATCTGGAATCACAGGGACAAGGTTGGCCACCTTGGGGTAGTCAGAATTTATCTTACCTAAACGGGGAGAGGTTAGGCAAGTTTCTAGAGAGCCAAACTGCTTTCTAGAAAATTAAAGATAATTATACTTTCTGCCACGACTGTGAGAATGCCCATTTTATTGCACACTTTCTAACATTTTTACCAAACTGATAAATACAAGTTGGTACCTAGAAGAAAAAATGCCAGGCATGGTGGCTCACACCTGTAATCCCAGCACTTTGGGAGGCCAAGGCAGGCAGATCACCTGAGGTCAGGAGTTAAGAGACCAGCCTGGCCAACATGGTGAAACCCCGTCTCTATTAAAAATACAAAAATTAGCTGGGTGTGGTGGCAGGCACCTGTAATCCCAGCTACTGGGGAGGTGGAGGCAGGAGAACCACTTAAACACGGGAGGTGGCGGTTGCAGTGAGCCAAGATCATGCCATTGCACTCCAGTCTGGGCGACAAGAGTGAGACTTCATCTCAGAAAAAAGTTTCCATATAATTTGTTTCATCTCTAGAAACCAATTCAGCAGTGAGAACTGAAAGCTACCACTTGGAAGGTTTCAAGCACTTAGCTCTACCTATTGATGTCTAAAGCATTAGTTAAGGTAGAAACACACACACACACACACACACACACACACACACCATGTATTCAGTACCAGGAAACATGACTGACTAGATGGTATAGTTATCCAACAGAAAGCGCACAATAACTGAAGCCACTGTAGAGGAGTAAGTTATGACACAGATCTACAATATTGTTGAGTGAATAAGCAGATTACAAAAAAAAGTCTGATTTTTCAAGGGAGAGGGAACATATACAAGCATAGGAGAAAAGATGAGCAGATGACTGGAAAAATACAAAATTCTGATAGTGGTACTTTCTGAGTGGTAGAATTATCAGTAATATTTTCTAGTTTTACCTAAAATTTTTCTAAATTTCTTAAAATAAGAAGGTTTTATTGTCCATGTTATAAAATATCCACCACCCCAGGAAACTTAACCTTCAGCACAAACTCTGCAATATGTTAAAAGTTTGTTCAGTTTTATATTTAAGAGACAATCTATTTTGAAAGACATCTAAAATGATGACCAATATTTAAACCTATGCATTAATATTTTTTAATCATATGCTTTAAATTTTGTAATTTTGATAAGGTTAAGCTTCATATCAATCTTGAAAAGGTAAGTTTTCCATTTGTCTTTAAAATATGACCTGCAATATGCCAGTTTTTAAACAGCAAATGGGGCTCAAAAATCGCAATATAAATTCAAGCAGTGTTCCTTACATAGAATGTTTAAGTGCTTCTAACACTGCTCTTTTTCCCCAGTTATGAAAACACATTACAATTATCTAGCATCTAATTATTCAGGTCCTTTGTTTCTCCTCCATTCTATTAGTTTTATAGTAATTTCAAGGCCTGTGAGGATGAAGTTGTCTGTGACGGCTACCACAAAGGTTACTGTAAGTGAACAAATTTCAAACAAGTTTATCACCACTACCATCCCCACAATAAAACTGTCTTAATCAAGGGCAACACATTTCAAGGTTAACCAAGACAACCTCGTTACCGGTCACTGCTTAAGAAAAGGATTTTTTGGTCTTATTTAGAAATAACTTTTTGTATCTATTTTTCTCTATAAATCCACTGAGACCAATGTGTGGCTCTATCTCAAGCACCAGCAAGCTAAACTGCTTGCCAGAATGTTCAGTTTTTGTATCTTTCCAAAGGTAGGACACAGCTCTCTTTTGATATCATAATTTTTTGAAAATTGATGCACAAACTTCTTCTTGGAAGTTCAGCCAGGCATGGTGGCTCGCACCTGTAATCCCAGCACTTTAGGAGGTTGAGGCAGGTGTATCATGAGGTCAGGAGTTTAAAACCAGTCTGGCCAAGATGGTGAAACCCTGTCTCTACTAAAATTACAAAAATGAGCCAAGTGGTGGCAGATGCCTGTAATCCCAGCTACTCAGGAGGCTGAGGCAGGAGAATTGCTTGAACCTGGGTGGCGGAGGTTGCAGTGAGATGAGATTGTGCCACTGCACTCCAGCCTGGGTGACAGAGTGAGAATCCGTCTCAAAAATAAATAAATAAATAAATAAATAAATGTAAAAGAAAAGACAAGACAAGAAAGTTCAGACATACAGCAGCTGTAATTCTTCTAAAGGCTGGTTATGGGACGCATTACTTTCATACTTTGTTGTTCAATAAATGTGGGGTGGAGAATAAAGTAAACTGACAGAACTACCATATAAACTAAAATTCTAAGTGCTCTGACAACAAAAGAAACTTAAAATACACACACACACACACACACACACACACACACAGAGACACACACACGGTTTTCCCTGCTAATCATTTTACAACTAAACAACCAAGTAGCTAACCCAGAGCCCACAAAAGCAGAGTAAAAATTCTAACACTTGGTGAAATAAAAATGCACATATACCCCTGTGAGCTAAAAAAAAAATGCTTAAGTCTTCAAAGATAGCAGCAATTATAGCTACTGAGAACATCATTGTAAGCAAGCTGAGGCAGAGAAAACAAAGGTGCTGATGAGGAATTGAACCACCTAAGCTGCAGAAACCCACTGGATGGTTTCCTAGGTTCCGAGTTGGCATTATCTTTCAGAATGATTTCTGAAAGAGACACATAATACTGTTACAAAGGATCTGGAGAAAGGGATGCTTGCTTTATCACTCTGGCTCTCCAGTCATGCTTCACATTTTCACTTCTTACATTCTCTTTCATATGAAGTCAATTTACAGATTTCCATCAAGCCTTTAGAGATCTTTTTGTACACAAGTTCTTGATGTTATCTCTGCACTTTTGACAAATTCTTAGCAGCTAACTTACAAGGCAGTTAAGATTTTTGTTCAAGTACAATATAGCTAGAATAGGTTCATATACTCAATAAAACAAATATTTACTAAGCATTTATTGAGTGGAAGATAAAAAGCACAAAGCATAATTATAAAATATTTTCCCCTGCCACCATAAAAAAAACATAAAAAGGCTTACAGAATATAGCATAACATGACCAAAGCAAAAATAGCAAGGACTAAAGAGGGGAGGAAGGGAAAATATCAGCATGAACTGAATATGACCCAGAAGAGCCTTGATGGTCAGACATGTAAAGAAAAATTGGATAGGGTTAAGGGGTGGAGGTCAGGGACACATTCTACAGGTGAAAAACAGCTGACACAGACGCCTGAAAGGAAAAGTGGGCGGAGCACCTGCACAGGACTCTTACCTGCCGCCTCCACGGTACAATGGGCCTTTCCAGAACACAGCAGCGCAGCCAGGCCCCAGGGAGAGGGATCACTCAAACAGCACCAGAGGCTGCATTGCAACTTTTCCTCCGTCAACGAGTCCGTTTTCATTGTTAGTTTCTCCTTAAACACAAACTTAAAAACAACTGGCTGAATACGGGGGATCAAGGAAAACCTGACTGAAAAATGAGGCCTTAAAACTTAAGGGCCTTGGGTCCTAGTGCGGTGGCTCCTGCCTGGAATCCCAGCGCTTTGGGAGACAGAGGTGGGTCATTTAAAGTCAGGAGTTCGAGACCAGCCTGGCCAACACGGTGAAACCCTGTCGCTATTAAAAACACAAAAGTTAGCCAGGTGTGGTGGTGGGCGCCTGTAATCCCAGCTACTCGGGAGGCTGACGCAGGAGAATC